TTGACAGATCAACCTGTTTGGCATCCAATGACACACCCACAGGCTATGTGTATCAACTATTACACTGTAATGGATTCCCTCATCATTATCTCAATATGGACAACTATTACACGCAGAATGAAAGGCATCTGCCCATCTGCTGGCAGCATTAGGGATATTTATAAATAAACACACCAGCCCCAGTCACTGTGGAATTACCAGTACTCATTTACAGTGTGCTTAACAGCCACGCTTACATGTATACATGTATGTGGATGTGCCAAAATATGGTGCCTTGTGGAGACCCAGAAGAATGGGTTGAATAGGTCTCCACAAGGAATTTCTAAAGGTACATACGTCTCCACAAGGATACATCCATTCTGAAATTTGTATCCTTGTGGAGACATGGCTTTGTCCTCCAGTACTAATTCGGTCACGTGTGAAAAAATGTTTTGAAAATGCTCCCATTTCAACTCAAATCACTCTCCTGGACTAAAATTTCGACCGGTTGTCCCTGTTATGAAACACTTCAATTTGCGACCGATTCCTACACATTAAAATTTCTCCTATATAAGTAATTTCCAAATATCAGTTTCGTGAATCCTTGTAGAGACCTATTCTCCTTTAAAAAATTCCTTGTGGAGACCTATTCAACCCATTCTTCTGGGTCTCCACAAGGCACCATATTTCCGCACAAATTTCGGAATGGGTGTACATGTATGTGTACAGTGCGGATCTATCTTACAAGCATGTACAGTAACAACTGCTGTATCTTTTCACCAACACGTACATGTACATGTACACTGTTGAATTAAACATAAATTGCTGTCTAACTTGTACAGGTGAACGTGTAGTGCTGGGACCTATACTACATTTAGCTGATAAGCCAAAAAGATGCAGGTACATGTACGGCACCCTGAGTAAAACCGAGTTCACACTAACTGACTAATATCAGTAATATGTTAATGATCCAGCATTTTGACAGGCAAGTTTCATAACGTAAATATATCATATACATGTACGTACACCTTTATGACTTTCCCAGTGCGTCCAATAATATTAGTACATGATAACCGACAGACTACAATGTAAAAGTCTTCAAAATGGACTTAGAAACCTCCCAATCATGAGTGCCCAGGCATTTCACCGCAGAAACAATATTTCAAAAGACGGAAAAACATAATTTCTTTCGTTGCTGGAAAAATAAGCATGATTTGCATTTATTTTCCTAAGCAAATAAAAGTGAAAAAAGTAAAGCTACATGTACCGAAAGCATTCATCTTTAACAGCGTGAATTAAATCTGAGCAATTTTACTGTATAATATCAATGACAAACAAACGTAAAGGTCCAAGGAGACATGTGCCGGGTTCCATGTTTGTTCCCATATGTTGCAAAAATAATAAAATATTCACCACTTTGTTGAGCCTGAATGGCACATTTACCTTGTTTATCTGCTATATATTTAATTATCATTCAGGTGTCTAACTTGTTGAATTAGCCTGTGACAGCTGTTTCTCTTGATTTGTCCTGTACTGCTGGGCACATCCACACACAAGCTATGGCTTTTAAGTTGCCTAAGTAATGTGAAAGGAAAGGTTACTGAAGTGAACTGAATCAAATCCAATCGACCCAATCTGGTCAAATCAACACAAAATGCAAGATAGAGTAAAGCAAATTCTGAGCTCCACAAAAAAATGGCAGATGTGGTACAGGTACATGGAGCTGATGATGAATGGATCCCATTCTCCACTCAAGAGGACGCAATTAGATCAGAAATGCAGCATGCGTGACCTCACAGGTGCATCACTAGTTCCTGAATGCACATGATAACCTCAAGTGGGATGTGCCCATTTTATTTTCACTGCAGCAGCCATTTAATGGGTGTATACCTTAAGATCATTCACCTACATGTATGAATAGAAGTGGAAATAAAGACTTCACTACAAATGTTCGTTTTTTAAAATGCCATTAACATTGTTAGTAGTTTTTTAGAAATTAACACTTACCACTGAATTTCATAATTTGAAAAAAATTTTAAAAACCTGTAATTCTAATCAGTGATTTATTTTTCTTAAAATCCTAGTGGTCTTTAGTCCTGCTCTGGTTTTCTGTTAGCAATTCTTGTTGAGAGTAAACCGTATGTGCCAATATTCTGCATTCAAAAGGCCAATTGAACAAAACAACATCTTAAACAAGGTCCCAAAGCTGCAGCAAAACTGACCCATCACAGATACATGGCAAAATGTCTTTCCGTACCTTCGAGCCATGCTCTTCTCGGCACGATAATCATGTTAAGTGCAAATTTCCCATCTCCAAGACATGGTGATGCTGGAAAGTCCTAAAGCATGAAAGATGCAGCCTCATCCAGTGACCTTTTCTTTTATGGGGCAACTTCTATCAAATGATAGCATGCCTGGCATGAAAAAAATTTTGATCTTGAAATGAATCAACCTGGTGTCATCATATACAACTGTACATTTTTGGAAAAAATAGACACATTTCATTTTCAAAAGGTGGAAAAAACCTGTATGCTTTGTTATAAAGCATCCAAAAATTAATTCAGATCTCCCCGGTGCAAATCCATCCTTAAAAAATAGTTGTTCGCGGTACCCAATGCATCCGACTGGACCCAGCCAGCGGACACCGGCAAGCTCGGTGGTCGAGTGGTAAAAGACATCTGCACTAAGTAGTAAGCAGGAAGTCGTGGGTTCGAGTCCCACCCGAGTATGCTTGTGGTTTTTCACAAGCCTTCGGGGCCAACACGGAGTAAAATACAGTGTCACAATACACTTCTGGCAGGGCAAAAATCCAAAATTGACAGCTCTGCTTACTTAGCTTGAAAGGTGTTTGAAGTGCATTCTAAGCTGTCACAAAGTTGTGGCATTTTACAATTTAATGCTGCAGAACACTTGCTTGCTGTTAAAGATGCAAGTACGAGTACATTGTAGGTATGCATGATTAATTGTTTTCTAAATGTTGTGAAAAGGAATCTAACACGCTGTACATATACCGGTACATGTACGTGAACTAAGCTACACTGGAATATTTGCACTTCTGGCAGAATTACATGGCTAAGTCCTTTCAGTTAGTGATCTTTCTAGCTGACCTATTTCCTTTAGAACACCTGGTTTGCTTGAAATGCCAGAGTGTAAACTCTTTAACACCTATTTAGAGGTCAAGTCCTTAAAAATACATGTAACTGCATGTAAATACACAGAAGTACACATGTAATCGGCTGAAATGTAAACAAGTCTACAGTATACATTAAGTGACTTGTTTCAGCAAACATCGTTTGTGCCTCTCTGAGCTTTAGCAGATGAATTGAAAGTGCAACACCACCCCATCACCCATTTATCATGGACTCTGAATCCAGAGATACCGGTAGTGTCTTGCAGAGCTGTGCAATGGCTATCGCCTTGGCGATCAATATTTTATGAGGATGCTTGGCTAAGCGTAACGAGCATATTAAGCACACTGTTGATAATTTTTTTTTTTATTGCTGCCTTAGCCTGAGGTGGTGCCTGGAAAGCTGACCGACAGTACACTGTGATATGCATGGCCTACATCCTGAACAAACTGTTGGCGAGTAGACAACTGTTGAAATTACTTGTGCATGCTGAACATGAAAAGTTACACAAAGACAAGAAAAAGTCTACTGTCAACATTTTTTAAGAAGAGTTAATTTCCTTGCAAAAATGTAAATACATGGAAAGAGCAACTTACCAACTGGAAAAATTTTAAAATATTTGAAAAGATGGACAATGTATTTTGTAGAAACTTTACCAAAAGCAATGATTTTTTTTTCAGTGCACATTAATCTCAATTATTCATTCTCAAGTTACGGTCAGGGAGTCAGGTTGTTGTAGTGGTTCTTTCCAAGCCTTCCACCTCAGCGGTCCGGGTTCGAATCCTGTCTTGGTCCACATGTGAATTGGCTTTTCAGTTGCTACTGATTTCATGGGTTTTACCCAAATTATTCCTCTGGGGTTTTCTCCCACCTCCCAAATTGTAATTGCTTCTCACTGTCTCCTCTCTACAGGTTTCTTCAGGCTTATGGGCTACAGTGCCTGGGCACTTTTAAGGAATCCTTGGTGTCATTACCAGAAATGAACGATATTAATACTAAACATTACAAACCAACATAGACCCTACCTTCGGAATCCCTCCAGTTTTGAACAACATTTTTTGGGTCAAGAAAACTTTGCCATTTATTTTCTTCTGCACAAAGTTGACTTCAACAAAACTGGAACACGTTATAATGCACCTACCGGTACATCCCCTACCCCTCCGCGGTCTTGTGTCAGTGTGTGGTCACATTTTGTGAGTCCCCAACTGCGGATCCTGGTCACTTACAAAACATTTTCGTCAAAAACCCTCCTTTGGTTTTACAGCACAAATGTGCACAAGTGCCCAAGGTCACTCTCTTGCATGTTGGTG